GCCTCCCCCCCTCACCGCACAGTCAACCCGCACAGCAAGGATCGGCAACCTTCCAGAGGGTACCCTTGCAGGGCTCGTTTCGATTCCTCCGATTCGATTCGATTTCGATGGCTTCCGATTCCGATTCGATTCGACATGGGATTCCGATTTGGTTTCCGATTTCTTATTGGAGGCATGCTAGCCTGCCAATTTCCGCCGAGTCGACGTTTCCCAACTCGGCCGCCGATTTCTGCCAATCCGATTCATTTCGATCGCCGATCCGACTTATCGATTCGGTTCTGGGCGCTAGTGCCCTTGGCATCCGTGCCTCCTCGGTCCATCCTTGGCCACTTTTGTTGGCCGCGCCCTGCTCGACAAGCTTCAAAATGGGCGTCCAGGGCCCTTGCATCCTTATCGCGCATCCTTATAACACGGGTCGACTGCATTCGTCGATGCAGATCCTCCGGAGCACCCCTGGCCATACAAACACCCATTGTCCACACAACAGCCCATCTGACCTTCCCTCGTCCCTGGAGGGGAGGGGGCGCTTCTCCACACGCACCGATCCTGGCTCGGCCGACACCAGGCCCAAGATCGGTGCACGTTCGAGGAAGGAGAAGAAGGAGAAGGAAGAGGAGGAGGAGAATGAGGAGGAGGAGGAGGAGAATGAGGAGGAGGAGGAAGTGGAGGTGGATGAGGAGTAGAAGGAGGCAGAGAGAGTGGGAGGAGGAGAGGGAGGAGGGCGTGGAGGTGGAGGTGGAGGAGGAGACGAGGGTGGAGGAGAAGGGAGGCCAGAAGGAGTAGGAGGAGGTGGAGGAGGAGTTGGTGGAGGAGAACGCAGAGAGGGGGAGGAGGATATGGAGGAGGAGTAAGTGGAGGTGGAGGTCGAGGAGAGGGAGGGAGGAGAAGGAGGGTGGAGATGGAGGAGGAGGAGGAGGAGGAGGAGGAGGAGGAGGTGGATGAGGCAGAGGGGGAGAAGGGGGAGGGGAAGGAAGAGGGGGTCGAGGGTTTTGAGCATCGGTTTGGGGCATCGCTGTCCCGTCGAGGCCCCCCCCTGGAGGCCAGGGGCCCCCTGCAAGTCCCTGGAGGCTTCCAGGCACGGGCTATGTGAGAGTGGGCCCCGCCACTTCACAGAAGTCGCGTCGGCTTCGCAGGCAAAGCGTTTGAATCATGGTCCAGGAGTTTGGAGGTGTAGCAGCGCCAGGCGCCACAAGCCGACACAGCCGGCGAGTCGATGCAACCTGTACCCCACGAGTTGGAAGGGAGAAGGGCTCCATGAGACCCCCTCGGGTTCTCCAGGTGCGCTTCCCAGGCCAGGCCATGAGGGCGAGTATCCACCGATCTTGGGCTCATGGATGACATTCTATCAGTCGGTGTCCCAGGCATCCAGTGGGAAGACGGGAACACTTGGACGCTGATGAGCGCGAAGGCCTCCAAGGGAGTCACGGTGCACACTTGCAAGACGATGTGCCAGCGCTGGGGCATGAAGGCGCTGGGGCGCGCATTCGACGGCATCAAGATGCCCCAGCCTTGCGTCGCAAAGTGCGAGGAGGTCTATCCCGAGGACGTTCCCTCCTCCATTCCTCCTCCTTCTCCCTTTCTCCCCATCCTCCTCCTCCTCGTTCTCCTCCGGCTCCTCCTCTTCTTTTTATCCTCTATTCTTCCTCGTCATGTTCCTATCCTCACCCTCGCCGTTCTGCGTTCACTCAATCCTCTTCCTCCCCAACATCCGGCCCTCCTGTCCCCCCCTCCTATCCATCAGCCCTTTCTCGCATACAGTCGGACTTGACTGGACAGGACACCCGAGAGGACACAAGGCTCTTCCGACGGCAGTGTGGCCCGAGAGCACCAGAGGACACGCGGGTTCCATAGACCAGGATAGACGGGACACGAGAGTACCCTCGACTTGGCATGGTCGACTTGCCAATCGGGGCCGACTGTAGGGGGAGAGGGGAAGGCTTCTTAGAAGGAGGCTGCTTCTTAGAAGGCGCCGGCCCTACATCTGTTGAAAAGGCGCGCGCCTTCAGGAAGCAGGGGTGCTGCTGGGAAGCCGTCCCCCCTCCCCCACACGCACGTCTGCGCGGGGCTGACACTGACCAGGAAAGCGGTGCAGGACAAGCAGTCGAACCGAGAGCAGGGGCAGCCGTCGAGCCGAAGCTCGGCATGGTCGACCCACCAGTCAGGGCCGGCTGCAAGCCGCAACCTCTCGTCGCACCCCCGCGCGTGCCCCGGGAGCGCGGCCTGGGCGGTCCGCTCCGGACTGCCCCACATTGCGTGGCCCTGAAGCCTCTGGCAGTCCCAGAAAGGCCTCGGTGGAAGCGAGGTGCAGGATCGAGGTCGGCTCCGGGAGGGCAGGAAAGCTCTTGGCGTTCCGCGCGGATGTCTCGGATCCGCGAGAGGGCCCCCCTTGGCGGCGCCTCCGGCGCCGCCCCTGGCGCGCTCCGCGCGCCAGGGAGAGGGGTCCAGCGCAGAAGCAAGAAATCCGCGCGGAGCGCCAAAAGTTTCTGCTTATGCCGTTTTCTGCGTCTTCTCATTTTGGTTATTACTCGCATGTATGGTGCGCGTTGGTTGGGTGTTCTTGTACATCCTGGGGGAGTGTACCCTCGGTGATCTCATGGTCTGGGGTGTTTCGGCCGGCGGAGGGGGTCACGTTCTTGAAGGATGGTTTTCTGTCCTCTGTCGAGCATCACGCCTCCCAAATGCTGGGAAAGTTGGTATCGAACGACCTCCGTCCTGCCCCGCCACCGTGCCTTGGGGGCCTCTTGGGAGTCTCAGCCCCAACATCTGATCCACATCCATCGAACATGTCCGAATACAGTCAACCGCATGGCATGATATGGATGAGCTCTTTTCCAAGCTTGTCTCAGCATTGGGTTCATCCTCGGCCGCTTCCGCTGGCCGCGCCCCGCTCGCAAAGTGCCGGCATGGCCTTCCAAGGCCTTGCATCCTTGTAGGTGTGTCTTTTGTTATATGGGTTTCAGAGCCCCGAGTCATCAGGGGTAACTCGGGTCAGGGATAACTCAGGTTCGTTTTTCGGGAATCCGAGCCCGAGTTACCCCGGACCCGAGTTACCCCGGATAACTCGGGCGTCCAGAGCCCCACATCATCAGGGGTAACTCGGGTCAGGGATAACTCGGGTTCGTTTTTCGGGAATCCGAGCCCGAGTTGCCCCGGACCCGAGTTACCCCGGATAACTCGGGCGCCCAGAGCCCCACATCATCAGGGGTAACTCGGGTCAGGGATAACTCGGGTTCGTTTTTCGGGAATCCGAGCCCGAGTTACCCCGGACCCGAGTTACCCCGGATAACTCGGGCGCCCAAGGGTTGGCTGCACTCGCCCACCCAGACGGCGGCAAGCTGCTCTCAGGAAAGGAGATCCCATCCCCAAACCTGCGGCCGCCGTGGTTTCTTCACCACGCCGGCCCCCCGAGCCTTCCACCCCATCCCCGATCCCAGGGGGGCTGCTCTGCTCCGCCCGAAGATGGCCTCTGGAGGCCGAGATCGGGAGGAGGAGATCGGGAGGTGGCATGGCGCTCTCGCGATGCCCAAGGAGTCGGCCAGGGGGCCCCACAAGCCTCCCGAGAGCCCAGAGGTCCCCAGAAGCCCTCGAAGGCCTCCAGAGGCCCTGCGCATGCCACGGTCAGTCTTGAGCATGCGCAAACCTCGATCATCGAACCTCCCTATCCTTCTTCTCCTCGCGGTGCTTCTCGAGGCCTCCCGAGCCTAGGATGCCCCCTATGAGCGACGAAAGTAAGCGGGTATTACGCGAGATGACCCAGAGACCTTACGCGGTGGCTTGCGCGGGCCACCAGCGCGGCACGCTACACCGGAAGCGGGGGCGCGGACGCGCGACCTCAACTACGCGGGCAGCCTACGCGCCAGTGTCGGCGAAGGCGACCCCCTTTCGTTGCGTCGCTCGTGTGCCTCCTGAGCTCCCGATGCGTCCGAGCCCCCCAGAAGTTCCAGGGGCCCAAACGCGAAACAGAGACGCACGAAAAGCCAGACCCTCAATCCTCGCCCTCCTGCTTCTGCCAGGCCCAGGAGTCCGGGTTCCCCTTCCCTCCTTTCGGGCGACGCGAATTGTACATTTCGGACGGGGCTAGGACGAGGATAAGTCCGTCCCCGAGCGCTCTGGAACGCTCTCAGAGCGTTCTGGAATGCTCTGACAAGGGCCGCGGCATCTCAGGGATTCTCCGATCTTGTCCTCGCCCTGGCTTCGCCCCAGCATCGGCACCAGCTCTGACCGGGCCACTCCTGGGGCCCCAGGCCTGGTGAGCACGCCGCGCCTCCCTGCCGAAGCCAGGACGGCTTGGCCCTGCCCGGGCCTGGGCCTGCCCAGGCTCCGGGCCTCAGGGGCAACGATGGGGGGGGGGATGGGCATAGGGGGGGGATGCATCGATCCCCAGTCGCCCATTGATCGCCGATAGGGGTATGACAGCCCCACCCCGCCCTGGAAGGTGCGGATTCACTGTCGGGGACCTATCGCCGATCTGTCGGCGACGTATCGCCGATTCCAGGTCGATGCATGCCCCCCTCCGCCAGTCCCCCCTGTCGTTGCCCCCCAGGGCTGGTGCACCTCGTGCCGCCGGCGCCCTCCCGTCCCCGAGGACATGACCCCCGCGGCCGGGTCGATCCCAGCGGGCGAGGAGGGCGACAGCCCGAACACGCTGTGAGCGGCCCGCCGCTCGGCGGCCCTCCGCTGCCCCGACCTCGACCGTTGCTGCTTGCGTTTCGAATGCAGCCGAAGACCAACCTGCAACTCTGGAGGTCGGAAAGGGTGTAGCATAAAGTGGTGTGGTGCCAACGTTGAGTCTGGCGATGCCGTTCATCGTAGAGAGCATCTCGATTTCCACGCTTGGCACCACACCCCTTCATGCCACACCCCTTTTCCGACCTCCAGAGCAACGTAGTGCAGGCGCAGGGCAGATTCAAGCCTCTGCTTCGTTCCGACCTCGACCGCCCCGCGGCATCTCGCGGCAACTCCGAGCCAGCGCCGCCGCCGCCGCCGTGGCCGTCGCCGCCGTGGCCGCCGTCGCCGTGGCTCGAGGCCCGAGTGGCCGAGGCTCGGGGGCGTCCTTGGCCGCCCCCAGCGCGTGCCTCCCAAGGTGTCGCCGCCGGGTTGCCTCCGAGGCCCGGCCTGCCGCGCCGTGGAGCCGTCGTCTCCATCGTCGTGCTGTCGTCGCGAGCGGGGTCGGGTCGCCCTCGTCGTCGTCGCCGCCGTGGTCGTCGACGTCGTGGTCGTCGTCGTCGCCCGTGGGAGCCGCCACCGCCCGGAGGGGCGGCGGGGTGTCTCGGGGGCGGCGGTCGTGTGCGCGGAGCTCTGTGGGGGCACCTCCGCGGGCCATCGTCCACGTGCCCATCACGAGTCGGCAGAGCATGCTCTCCCCAGGTTGTGCTGGTGGTCGGTTTCTTTCTCGAACTTGATGGGGATCGTTTTCCAATCTCCCGACTGCAAAAAAAACAATGTTTCTCACAGTTGATTGAAACGTGTGGAGTATTTTGGATTGTGTGGGAAGGGGAAGGAGCAAGAGGAGGAGCAGGGAGTAGGAGGAGGAGGAGGAGGACAGGGAGAAGGAACAATCAGAGTGAAGAGCAGAAAGCCGATGATGGAGGAGGACGAGGAGGAGGAGGAGAAGATCTGTATCGCCGACGAAGATGCCTGCGGCGAACCACCGCCGCCGCCTGGTTCCCCCAGCCGTTGTGGACCCCCTTGGGGAACACTTGATAGAGAGAAAGAGAAAGGAGGACGAGAGGGAGGAGAAGGAGGACGTGGAGGAGGAGGAGGAGGGAGGAGGAGGAAAAGGATGCTTCTTGAGGCCGTGTGGTGAATTCCTGGGGTCTTCTTGGGAGCCGGCCTCCGAAGGGCCGCTCCAGGGCTTCCTGGGACCTCTTGGGGGCCGGCGGGTGCCTCCTGGAGCGTCGGACCCTGCGGTGCAGTGCAGCCCACGGGCGCGTGCCCGCGTGAGCGTTGGGGTGCTCTGCCGCCCGGAGATATCGGCCCGAAAACTGCACAGAGGTCCCAGGCCTGAAATCGTCACTTTCGCTTCTGTTTCTGTGTTCCGCTTCCGCTAGGAGCTTGCTCTCTCTTTGTTGCAGGTTCCAGGCCGAGGCCCGCCTGCACCAGGGATGCGCGTTGCGGCGGTAGTACCACACAAAAGCGGACACCCTGGTGCCACGCTCAGTCAGGGGACGACGATGTCTAATCTCCAGACGTCGCTGGCCAGGACGGACACGTGCGTGCTCCGCAGCACGCAATCATCGCTTCTGTCTGGCACCGATCCCCTGGCTTCTATGACAGTTTGCCGTTAGTCGGCCAGCACACCTGAATGTCGGGCAGCCCACCGATCCCACAAGTTATTTGTGAGGCGAGCATGTTCATGCATATCAACACACACCATCGAACGCACTTGTAATACCCACGCGCCTCCTGACAGCGAAATCCATGAGGTCAATGTGCACTTCCAACGACCCGGTCGTAGGGTATACTGGTAGCCGGATGGCCGAACGGGCGCCCAGGCACGAATACACATGTGCCTTCTTTGGCGCTGTTGCGTTCGCCCGTGCTCTTGGCCCGCCGAGGTCAGAAGGTAATGATTTCAGGTTTGGGGTTTCGGCGATGTGGGAAACATTGTATTGCCACCTGTGTTGCCATTCACCCAGCATCTGCTGACCTCCTCGTCGTTCAGGAGGGCGTTCCCCCGCTGCCTCTGCGTCGCGTCGGGGACGTCGGCAGCCAACTGCATCACAATTTTTCCAAACTGTTTCAGCGTCTTGGAAACACATTGGCCACGAGTGAGTAATGTCTGGGGCAAGATTTTCAAACCGTCGCTGACCATGTTTCAGAAAATGAACGAGTATATTTGGTAAGGTATCTGCCCAATGTGCCCAATATGCAGCAGGCGCCGTCCGAATTGCGTCTCCCAGCCCTGTCCGTAGGCGAATGCGCGCATGTTTGACCCACGTTTCAAACGGTATCCCATGCAAGTTCCTTATCCAATCCGCAGCGCTTAGAATCAGAAATCATGTTGTTTGGATTGCTTGCTTTGCCCGATCATCATGCAGTCGTGTCGGGGATGCTGTACGGGCTGGCGGTGTGGTGCGCAGGAGGGGTGGTCGGGGCGTGGCACGGCGCAAAACAAGAATATCAACCGTGCGGCTTTCAGGAGTGTGAATGTGTTAGCTCCTCGGTATCTACCACGAGTTGTGTTGCAAATTGCTCCGCAGATTCGTGTATCTCGGTATCGTTTAACCGATCCCCATCCCCATCCCCATCCAGACCCCCACCATCTCATCCCCCCAGTTGGGGATATACCCTTCGAAATCTGACAGAAACTGCCTACATCTCCATCTAGGGGGGTTAACTGGCCAGTGGGGCCCAGGACACGCGAGTGGGGATGGGGATCGGTTAAACGGTGCTCAGTGTCCCTAATTGTGAGCCTACAATCTTCTGGCCCCTCTTGTTCACAGGTCCAGTCGCCTTCCAGATGTCGTTGCCGAGTTCTGGCGGTCCTCGCGGGCGCGGGACTGCATTGTTATCACATCTTTTCAGTTTGCCGATGTTGATGTTGATGTGGCACAAGTGTTGTCCGGATGTCAATGAGCGCAGTGTACAGCGCGCGACAGAAGAGTGCAAACATCAACGCATGTTGAATGGAGTGTAGATGGTCGTCCGTACCATTGCCGCGCAAATTGCATTAGTGATGATAGTGCCAGAGTCACAAAGAATTGTTCCAACATTCTTGCGTTGTGGACGTGGTCAAACGCGCTTTTGTTATCGATGGGGAGCACAGCATTGTCGGGATGTCCGTCCGTGATGTACTAGAGCACGGGCACGGCGGAGTCAGCGCCACTATTTCGAACAAACATTGAGCGGCCCCATGCAAGCGTCGAAGGTCTTATCTACATGCACTTTGGGATAATCGGAGAATTGCCGCTTCGCGTACCCCCTCCCAGGCTACCCAAAAACTCTCATTGGGCGATTTGTTCTCGTCAGGGAAGTGGGGCTGGGAATTCGGGATATCTAGGGAATCTTTCAGGGTGTTTTTGGGTCTTCAAAATACCATACATGTTATGACCAGCCGCGGAGGTACGATTTGAAAATCTGTACAGCAAGGTAAGATTGGCTTCTTTTTGATTCGAATATCAGATGTTTCCGGCTCCGATTCCGCATCGAACGCCCGCCCCGGGTTTGACGGTAAATCTATCACAAAACCAATAGCATACGGAAAATAGTTGGGAAACAGGCTCGCAACATTGAGAGTGAACGTCGAAGGTGGGATCTTCGATATCATGACGGTCTACGTTCCGCACGTTGGAAAGAATTACGAATCGAGGGAGATGTTATTCGATAAGGTGGGTAATGCTTGGACTTATTATGGAAACTACAATTGCACTATTGCACTTGGGAATTTCAACACACGACTCGAAGAAAAATTGCAAATAATAAATGGTAGAATGAGGGAGTACATGATGCGGACCAGGGCCAATACTAACCGAGAATGTTTGATAGAAGCGGGAGACAGGTGCCATCATCGCGAACACATGTTTCGATCATCCACAAGAGTACATGGTTACCTCACCTGGAGTCGGGCCAGAGAGCGACATCACGAGAGATTTCAAAATTCATTTTGTAATCTAAGTATTATTTACTGAGCATGGGATCACATAGCGCTTGCTGGTCAAAGTTTCAGGGTTGTATCTGCATTAATTCTTTCTTTCTGATAGAGAGACAACAAAAGGAAGACTGGAGAAAAAAACAAAGAACAACAGCTAAGCAAATCAATCAAGAAATCCATACGGCAAGACAAGCGGGGATGGTTGATTGGTGTGACGGCCATGGCAAGCAATCGAACCATTACGAAAAACGCCGGGAAAGAAATATACCGATTACGGTCAAAGATAGGTATCCAGTGGAAAACAGCCAATGCGCAAACATTGTTGCCCATTAGTTTTAAGAAGATCACTGGAAAATGAATTATGCAAATGTACAAGGTGGCCGTTAATTCATAGGCATGTGCAAAGAATTTCGCGATGGACGAAATGACGCATGCATTGAAATACCTGGCGATGAGGAAAACAGCAAGACAATATGGGGTAACGTCAAAAATGTTGGTAATTGTTCTGCACGACGAACGTCATTTGTACGCGCATGTTGGAATTATCCTAAAAATGTCGGGAATCAAACATTATCCCGGCAAAGCAACCTAACAGCGATGTGTGGGAGCATATCTGGAAGCATTCCCCTTAAGATTCAGATGAGAATCCAGTTGTAGAATTCTGCTGTTCTCGCAGTCGTAGTCGCATTCGCGATGACAGTCGCAGCGGCAACGGCAGTCGCAGTCACAGCCTCAGCCTCAGCCTGCCTCAGCCACAGCCTCAGCCTGCCTCAGCCTAAGTCAGCCTCAGCCTCAGCCTGTTTCGGCCTCAGCCTCAGTCTGCCTTCAGCCTCGGCTTCAGCCTCAGGCTGCCGCAGCCTCAGCCTGCATCAGCCTCAGCTTGAGCCTCAGCCTGCCTCAGCATCAGCCAGCCTCAGCCTCAGCCTGCCTCAGCCTTAGCCTCAGCCTGCTTCAGCCTCAGCCTCAGTCTGCCTTCAGCCTCGGCTTCGGCCTCAGCCTCAGCCTGCCTCACCCTCAGCATGCCTCAGCTTCAGCATCAGCCTGCCTCAGCATTCAAAATGTGGCCCGGGAATGGACTTGTGGGAACTCGAAGAACACGAAGTGGCCTACAGTTGGCTCCGGGCATTCAAAATCATGCCCAGGAATGGAATTCAGGAAACTCGAAGACCACGAAGTGGCTTACAGGTGGCTCCGGGCATTCAAAATGTGGCCCGGGAGTGGAGTTTTGTGAATTCGAAGATGGTTCCGGGCATTGAAAATGTGGCCCGGGAATAGAGTTCTGGGAACTCGAAGAGCACGAAGTGGCCTACAGTTGGCTCCGGGCATTGAGAATGTGGCGTCGCGAATGGAGTTTTGGGACCTCGAAGACCGCGAAGTGTGTAACTGTTTGCTTGAAAAGACTTCCGCGGATTCTCCCCAGCACCCGTCCGGCATCTGCCCAAACCCTTTGTGGGGCGTCATGATGTTTTCTTTTGAGCCTGCTAGAAACTTATCAGTCTTCGCTGTTAAATAAATACCATAGCTTTGGAGGATTATTACGGTGGTTTTTTTGAGCAAAAAAATACCGCCCACCCTCTCCCCCCCCCGCAATGTACAATATGTCGGTGTGGATGGTTTAAAACATAGCTTTCCGTGTTGAGGTGTTGAAAGCAAGATACGCCCCACGCAATTTGGTTTCATATTGCAGCAAAATGCGTTTAACCTTATTTCAATCGCATACTAGATGATCGATTCTGCGTGTTGCACCCAACACTTTGGGTTTATATCTGGATTTGGAGAGAGGAAACAACTTCGACAAAGTTGAACACGACGAATTTTTTACAACCATCGAGAAGGTTTATAATACCAGAGCTTATGTTCGCATTGACTAGAGCAATATATATATATACATACATATATATACATATATATACATATATATATATATAAATAAACTATCATGTGTAACAATATCCTACAAGATAATGAAAGATAAACGACGATGGGCAGACATTGCTCAAAGAAACCATTTGTCACCGCATCTCTTCATGATTTTCGAAGCCCTCATTCTACGAAGCCGACCGAAACTGGAACAACATGGCGACAAAGTGGCAAGAACCGGAGTATACAGTACGCAGTGCCATTTCACACGCTGACGACACCATGTTTGCGAGCGTCAACTATTTGGAACTCTGTGGGGGAGAGGGAGGCAAAAATGAAACGAATACCCATAACAAAAAATACGTAATACATGAACGGCCCGAAGACAATTCAACCGATCATCAGGCTTGCAGTATCAAATTCGAAATATTAATGCGTGCTACTTTGGATGACAGAGCAATGCGCATCATAGAATTCCCGAATGCAATCGGAAATTATTTTGTCCTTGAGAAATCATGTTAATGTTTGCATCATTTGCCCCGGACTTTTTTTCTTTCAGCGCTGATTTTTGTCAGTTCAAAAGAATCCGGGAACCTGAAAAAAAACAGCAATACCAAAAGAAATGTTCAGAAAAACAAGCTGGGACATTAGATCAATGTTTTTGTTACCATTTTATGGCAATCAAAATTCGTAAGTATTAGAAGCATTTTTCGTAATCATTGACATCAATGTCTGTTCAATTATTGAAACTGCTCGCTTATAGAATCCGCTGCCGCTGGAGATCTTCATTGCCGCAATTGCGTAAATTCAATGCAACCGGCGGCGAGACAGCGCTGGAAGGCCAAAAAAGAATGAAACCCAATCCAAATCGATCAAAAGTCGTGCGATTTGTTTCTAAACTTCTACATCGCACGGGCTCGAAGGTTTTCGGCGGCTTGCATCGTCGGTGGCCGACAAATCTACAAGGTTCAAAATATGTTCCGAAATGTCAAAACCCGAACACGCGGCAAACTATTTCATTGGCGCACATGCGCAGGGTCGACGGCAGTCGGCAGTTTATTCAAAAAAAAAAAAAAAAAAAAAAAATCCCCCCCTAATTTGCTACCCAATCCCAGGCGCACCAAGATTACCATTCGCGCAAATGCGCGGGTTCGATGCGCCCACGACCCCTTGATATGTTCGATAGCGTGCGTGTCAAGATGACCTGAGATAGACCACGAACGCGTGCGCGTTGAGAAGTCGCGTTATCGAGATATTAACAGATTGAATTCTCGCCTGGCCCCGTCCCCAATGCTGAGATATCGAAATCCTGCCCAGGTACGCTACGAATATCGATCTTATGAAAATATCGGATACATTCGACCTCCGCTGGGACGTTTTTCGATCATAACGAAGAGGAAAAATTGCCTAGAAATCTTAAATCAAATGGCAACACCAAAAAAACAGAACCATTAAGGAAATCAACCGCCTTCAATGGGAGAGCGGAAAAATGAAGGATTATTTTTTAAATTCACCGGGCACAAATTTGATTGAGCTAGCAGAGCTTCGAAATCAAGAAGCAGAATTTTTGATTCAATGAGAGATGTCTCCGATTCGGCAAGCAGGGTCCTTGATTCGGCGCGCGGTTCAAAAAAATGCACTGGAATCAAATCAGATTCCGAAAGAGCTCATGATGACGCAATACGGATTGTTTTGGAAATGGCTGGCACCAACGCTCAAGAAAATTATGGATGTATCATATTCCGCAAAATACTCACCAACGCATTACTCGATTTGTGATTAAAAAAAAAGATGAAAACACTTCCTGCAACAAGAATATATCATGAACGGTTCTGAAACTCCACCAATCGGAGCAGGGCGTTCAATGTAACACAAGAGAAGTCGGATTTCAAGGTTGCCTGTTCTCGACATGATATGCCAGCCCCACAAAATTAGTCAATAACAGCATGCGCGCAAATCAGAATTTCTATTGAACGTATCAACGAACATATTCTTTGTGGTGCGGCAAGGAATTGTGATAAATCATGGTCGCAGGAATCGAACCCAA